TTCCTATGTCCTCCAGTAAGGGCCAGATCTTATGCTGTATGATGGAGTCAAAGGCTTGACTTAGATCAATCATTAGGGCAAATATTGGGGACTTATGCATTCTAGCGTTCTCCAGAATAACCTTAAGCGCCATGGTTTAAAATTAGCGAAATAAAATTTTTGCAGAAAATTATTAAAGTTTTTTTTTAATGATTTTTTAGTTTGTTTATAATAAAACACAATGAAAATAATTAGAAACATGAGAGATATACATGTTTATAAATCTTAACAATACTAATTTATTTTCCAAAAAACAATTAAATCCTATTTCGTATTATTTAAAATTGTTTACAAATTTACATATTTATTTTAAAGGAAAAGCTAAACCCATGTGGGAAACTAGAAGGAGACAAAAATAAAAAATAAAGGGGAAAAATAAATAAATAATAAAGGGAGGGAAAAATCTAAAATGGTGACGAAAAGAATAAAAGTTATGCAAGAAGGGGTAAAACAAAAATTATTAAAAGATGGAGGGCGTAAAATGTAAAAAGTTTATTTTGAAAGGGAAAAACAAAAACCATGTGGAAACTAGAAATAAATAAAATAAAATAAAAAGTAAAAATAAGTCATAAAAAGGGAGGGAAAAATTTCAAAATGGAGGTGGAAGAATAATAAGTTATCCAAGGGGTAAGAAACAAATTATTAAAAGATGGACGATAAATTATAGAAAAGTATTAAAGGATAAGGGGGATAAAAAATATTTAATAGTCAATAAGAAAATAACCTAAGTAAAAGGAGATTTATAAAAATTCAAGATTTTATAAAGGTTGACCAGGGAAGTAAATTTATGTTTAAGGGTTTATTGCCTAAGGAAAGACTAGAAATTAGTCAGGTGCATGGTAAACTGATCCTAAATTTGTGTTTTATATTGTTGCTATGATTATATGTTAAGATTGAAGGTTTCAAAGTGTTTAAGTATAAGGGGATGTAGACAAAACTTGTCTCAAAACAATTATAAATAATATAATTCCTAGTATAAAAGTTTAAAACTACTAACATGTTTTATATTATTGCTATGATTATATGTTAAGGTTAAAGTTTCAAATCGTTTAAGTATAAGGGGATGTAGAGTTTAAAACTACTAACATGTTTTATGTTATTGCTATGATTATTGTTAAGGTTAAAGTTTTAAATTGTTTAAGTATAAGGGGATGTAGACAAAACTTGTCTCAATGCTATGTAAATAAAGTAATTTCTAGTATAAAGTTTAATCTACTGACACAAAAGCTAATTATTGTATTAATCTTAAGTGAATTTAATTCCTTCCCATCATAAATATGAGAAATATATACATGAGAGATAAAAATAATATACATAAATGGATAAAGCATAGGTATATATATGTAAGAGGTATATACAGGAAAAAATATACATGAAAATAAAGCATAAATCTGAAAATAAATAAAGTATATACAAGAAATAAGTAAATAAGCATAAATATGAAAATAAATAAAGTATATATAAGAAATAAGTAAATAAACATAAATATGAAAAATGAATAAAGTATATTGAAAAAATAAGTAATTATAAGAAATAAGTAAATACTAACCTGAGACATCAAGAAAAAAAGTTTGATAACCTGACTCTTGTTCCATCATATTCAAAAGAGTTGTACTGAACATTACATTGTCTCCTGTTAATATCCCCTTTCATAATCATTTGGTATTTAATATCAATCCTAAAAAACAGAAAATTCTATCTATACATTAAGTAATACTATTTTCCAGACACATCCATTTGTAAAGATCATATCATTCTCATATATATTATTATTTGCTCTTCTCTACTTGTAATGTTTACGACTATCAAATTGCCCGATTTGAAAAAGCTTCGACATCCATTTTTGAAAAAATTATTTTCCTACTAAGCTGTCGATTAAATTAAGTTAATTTTATAAAAAAAAGTTTCATATATATATACAAATATATATTAAAGGGGGGGGCTCAATGGAAAGAACGTTTGCCTTCCGAACGATAGGTCGCCAGTTCGAATCCCGGTTTTGCCATAAAAAATTTTTAAAAAAAAATTTTAACATTAGCGAGATAATAATAGCCCTCGATTTATTTAACATTAAGATGATAGGAAAGTTGATAGAAAAAAAAAATTTTAACATTATTAGGAGATAGGAAAGTGAAAAAATTAACGTTACGATGATAGGAAAGTTGATAGAAAAAAAATTAACATTACCAAGATACGAAAACGTTCATTTCTTGATTACGGCTATTATATATATAGATAATACATACTTTTAATAATTTTATATATTTTTTTATTATATTTTTTTCTAGGAATTTAATAAATTAATCTTAAAGTTTGATATATCATGTTATATATCTCTTAAAAAATTTTCTCTATGTAGGGGAGACCGGGGTAAAGCGATTGACGGGGTAACAATGTTAACACGAATAACTTTTAAACCCTTGAGCACAAAGATTATAAATTTGGTGTGAAGATGAATTTTTATATTTAATAATTTCTTACCTATGTTCATCTTTTAAAAAACTTACCTGGTTTTATCTATTTTGTCAAAATGTTTTTTACCCAAAAAATATAAAAATCATTCTCCAGTATATTTTGCTTTTACTAAAATATACATATCCTCAAGATTCAAAATTTGGCACACATGTTCCTTAATGTAATGTATTAGTTATAAAATAAAATTTATCCGACATCTATAGCTATACTAGAAGCCACGCAATAACGATGTTTATAATATATGTCACCTTGGGGTAAAGCTGTTATGGGTCGGTTAAAATATATAATTCAGTAACACCAAATAATAAAAAAAAGTATATTTTAACAACTTTGTATAATTCTTTATAAATTTGATATCTTTCTTTTATATATAAAATATTTTTAAATATAAAATCGGCTCAGGATTCGGCTCGGGAGTCGTCTCAAACGGCTGATTGAGCTGCTCAATGCTGAGCCGTTTATTACGACTAAAAACTCGACTCGAGTGGCGGCTTAGCCGTTTAACAACACTAGCTACACAATGGTATAGGTTTCGGTAATTGATCCTCAAATCGTTCCGCCAGCTTCAAAATTTCACACTTTCCTTATTTTGCTTATAACTCATGCATTGATTCCGCTGATGCTTGGTTTGAAGATCAATTAGGACTCTAAATATTGGCATAGGTTTTGTTAATTGATCCTCACATCGTTCCACCAACTTCACGGACCTAAAATAAGAAGTATATAGGTCGATAGAGAATGATTTGTATCATTTTCAGTTTGATTTGTACCATTACCGTTTACCAGCTATTAACCATTTCCAAAAATAAAAACACTCATAATAAAATTTTTTAAATTTCTTAATGAACAACGATAGAAAATATCTTTCTCTTCCTATTAATGCTTCAAATTTATTTTTATCTCAATTATTTATTTCGGAAATCAAATTTTAAACTTAGATTAGAGCGTGAAGTTAGCTTCCTTATTTTGCAATTTTGGCATTTTTCAATTTTTAAAACTGGATCAAATTGTACTGTTTCAAACTCGATTTGTATCGCCCCTTCCCTCACATCTATTGTTAAAATTGTCTTTTCACTTGTTTAAATGTTGTATAGTTTTTATGAAGAAGATATTTTTACTAAAACAATTTTAGAGTATTATAGCTCAGTTTGATTTTAATAATTCTATTTACAAATGTATAAATGTTATGACCTTGGAGCAAATACAATCAATTGATGTATTTTGTAAGTTTTTGTAATTAGATAAATATATTGAAAACTGCAAGATATTGATATCTTGTTTGAGGGGATTTTATGCTCTCTATTTTTTATTATTTTCCAAAATATAAGGTCTAAATCCAAAGGTATAGGAGATATGGGTATAATTTTTTCGTAATATTAATCCCCACGCTTAAAAATATGCGAATTGTATTCTCTTTGAAAAATATTACAAAACGTTACTGACTTTGTTATTATATATATGTCAAGATTGGTATATTTTTTAATATTTTGTTGTATATATATTTTTTTAAGCTTCTTTATAATTTTATTACGCGCAATAATATTGGTTTGATAACATCGGCGCACTTGTTTGAATTTAGATTATAAGATTCAGGATTTGTCGTGATATTTTAGAGAATTGTTTTTTATTTATAAGATACAAAAAGACCGTTTTTAGGCATAAATATTGTAATTAGCCGAGTTTAAAATTACTAATCAACTATATTATTTATTTTTTAATTTTATATGTACTTATTTTAATTTAATAAAAATTATTCGTGAAATTGCTTAAAATGGATATTCTAGAAGGGCACAAGCAATAGTTGGTTAAGTGACTGAAAAGGTAAAATTTTATTCCTATATTAATATTTATTTAGTTTAAAAAATCTTAACGTTTGTTAAGGGCAGTGGGTTAGCTGTTGTATTGAAGTGTATATTTGTTAAGAGCACAGGGGTTTGTGGAGTAATTTTTTTGCGAAAATATGCTGGAGTACCGGTGTAACGTTTTAGATGAACTCCCGATTTAAATAGATTCTAATTTAGTGATATTGGCATTTATGACTGACATGTTAAGATTTAACCTTATTTATTTTAGTGATATTGACATATTTGATTGAAGTGGGAGTACGTATAAATCAGATTTATGAAGAATCTATCAAGATCAATTGTAAATATTTCTGTCTTACAAATTTTGCAAAGTAGATATCTTTCTAATATCTTAATTTAATCAATTTTAGATAAAGTATATTAAATGGCATAAAAACCTATTATTCTACCAATACTCAACTTTGCAAAGTAAATGATTGTAAATTTTTCTAATAATAAATTTTAGCAATTTTAATAGAATATTTAATTATTTTGAGTATACCTACTATATCAAGATCAATTGTAAATATTGCTGGGCTACAAATTTTGCAAAGTAGTAAATAATATATCCTTCTAATATCTTAAGTAAATGACTGTAAATTTTTCTAATAATAAATTTTAGCAATTTTAATAGAATATTTAATTATTTTGAGTATACCTACTATATCAAGATCAATTGTAAATATTGCTGGGCTACAAATTTTGCAAAGTAATAAATAATATATCCTTCTAATATCTTAGGCTGCTTTCATAGTGGAGACGGATCCGATTTTTACATCCGTTCCGTCAAAAGTCAATCTCATTAAAAATGATATATACGTTCATAGTGCGTCCGTTCCGATACCTTCCGTCTTGAAAACGGATCCGGCAAATTTTGAAGTCAAAACATTTTGACTTTTTGATCCGGCAAATTTTATAAAGCGTTATAACGTTACTTATAATTTTTTTATAGTTATAAATTATGGATAAATCTAGGTTTACAATTTGGTGAATCAGGTATTAAAACTTTATAAATATAACATAGAATTTTTTAAATAGTTAGGTGATGAGTTAAATTTTACTCTTCCATTTGTCTTCTCTATTTGTAACATACCTTGTTAAAAAACTAAGCTTATTTATCATAACTAAATAGAATTTTATTTTAATTCTAATATTCAAACATCATAATACATATATACATTAAACTAATAGAATTTTTTGAATTAATTATAATAGCATTTTATCATAACTATTCCATTTATCTTCTCTTTTACTCTACCTTGTTAAAAATAACTAAATATAATTTTTTATTTCTAATAATTTAGCTTGTTCATGTTAAAAATGAAAATTAATGTGTTAGATTTAATTGAAGCTGTAAGAGGATCTAAATTTATATATGATAAATTTGATGAAAGTTACAAGGATTCACGCAAAAAATCAGAATTTTGGATAAATTTAGACCTACAATTTGGTGAATCAGGTATTAAAACTTTATAAATATAACATAAATTTTTTTGAATATATTTTATTAATTAAATTGAACACTTTCAATAATTATATATATATTTAGAATTGATCAAACAATATGATCATTCATTACCTCTGTTTTATATTTTTTAGGTGATGAGTTAAATTTATTGTATTAATATATCTCATCTAAGTATTAAGATAAAAAGATTAAGCTTACTATTTAATTCTTAAATTTGGTATTACAATGTTAATCAATATCTTTGAAAAATTATTTAGGAGCAAACTTAATTTTTTTAATTAAATTAAATACTATCAATAATTGAGCAAACAATATGATCATTCATTACCTCTGTTTTATATTTTTAGGTGATTTTGCTAAATTTATTGTATTAATATATCTCATCTAAGTATTTAGATAAAAAGATTAAGCTTACTATTTAATTCTTAAATTTGGTATTAAAATGTTAATCAATATCTTTGAAAAATTATTTAGGAGCAAACTTAATTTTTTAAATTAAATTAAATACTATCAATAATTGAGCAAACAATATGATCATTCATTACCTTTGTTTTATATTTTTAGGTGATTTTGCTAAATTTATAGATGAAGAATTGTCATCTTTACCACAGGATCACAAAGATAAAGTGAAAATGAACATTATGCAAATGATTTTTTTATATAAAAGTCAATTAAAAAAATAAATTATATATTTTTTAATATTTATATTTTTAAATAAATATATTATAATTGTTAAACATATTATAATTTTTTTATTACAAAATAATAAATATTTGCTTTGTGCTTTTTAAACTTAGCCTGACCTATAATTATATCATTTTAAGTACCATATCAGGAAAGGTTTGATAAAAATAAATTTGATTAGTCAAGGCTTACTAAGTAGGCAAGATATTTACACTCAGGATCCTTTTCTTATATAAGCTTCTTTAAAAAAATGTCACATTCAAAAATCAGTAGTAATACAGACCTCAGTATCAATTTCTAATAAATCTTATTACCCATTCACCAAGTATTTAAATTTAATAAAATAGCTGATAATATTTATTTACATGTATAAATTTTTTTTAAGAATATATTAAACAAAAACATGGGAAATTGGTACAAAATAATTATTTTATGAACAAGTTCTTGTATTTTTATAAAAAGAAAATATATACCAAAAAAATATAAAGAAATTTAATACATATAAAATCAAAATATTGAAAAAATAAATATTAATTTAATATATTAGTTTGCCAGGGCAAATGTCTATTATTAAAATAATTGCTAAATAAGTTTCTTATATTTTTATTTTTATCAGAACTATTTTTAATACTCTGTTGGTTCCATAAAGGATAATTTGAACCAACAAGATCAAAACTTATTATATTTAAATTTTCTTTCATTTTGGCTTCCATAAGTGCCAACATCTATAACCATAAATTTGCCATTATGATCCACCAATGCTTGAAGGATTATTGAAAATCCATGCTTGTAATTATAAAATTGGGTTCAAGAATATGGAGACTTTTTTGTTTTACAATGTTTCCCATCAATGGCACCTTATAAAATATTAACATAATAATATAGTATGAAATAATAAAATAAAAAATATAATTATCTTTTGTTTGATATAAATAAAATTTAAACCTATACAGTTTGGGAAGTTCCACCTTTCATCAAAGCCCTTAGCAACTTCCTCAAACATCTCCAATGTTGGGACCTTCATATGGATGGGTTGAATAATATCCCATATAGCTTTTGTATTTTCTCCTATTATTAGTTTTATAGTTGATACCCCAAGTTTATGAGAATATGACAAGGTGACATATGAATTACCAGTTGCTAGGTATCTAGATCAAATGAAGTATCAAGAAATTAGCATAAAAATGATTTTTAAATGCCTAATTATTATAATATTATTAAATGTTATATTAATTATTGTAAATATTCATTCTTATTATATGTAATATTAGGGTTATATCTCAATATTAATTATAAAATTAATTTAATATATATATATATATAATAAACTAATTTTAATAAATTTATATAGTTTTCTTTTTTGTAATTTTATTTTTAATAAGATCTATTTTTTAAAGTGAAAATACTATATATAAAAATATACTCACTTTTTTCATACACATGTAATTATAAAACTTGAGGTCATCTATAAGTAATTTTGGCAGCAAAGTAAAATATGCTCCCTCCTTCCTCCTTTTTGAATTTACTATATTTTTTTCTTTCTTGAATAAGAGATCATATATCATATATAATTTAAATAGAGAATATTGGTTCATTTTAAAAAATAAAATAATGTCTAATCTGTTTTAAGTTGAAACGTTAAAAAAAAATCACTATGAAAGCCTTGTCGGACGCCGTCAAATCAGATGTTTTGACGTGAAATCGGATCCGTCTCCACTATGAAACTGCTTTTTAATTTTAGATAAAGTATATTAAATGGCATAAAAACCTATTATTCTACCAATACTCAACTTTGCAAAGTAAATGATTGTAAATTTTTCTAATAATAAATTTTAGCAATTTTAATAGAATATTTATTTATTTTAAGTATACCCTATAAGATAAATTTCAGTTTGCAAACAAAATGATTGCCTAAATACACTGAAATATTCTTTATTTTCATTGAATACTATAAATTAAATTTTTGGATATGTTTTTGGGTCATTTATTATATATATTATTTTTTTATTCATTCAGTTGTATTTGATACCAAAATTATCCTTTGTTTCTCCAATCAAATGACGAAAGACGATAAATCAAGTAAATAAATTTTGTTTAGTATATTTCTATTCATTTTAATAGAATTCGATGAGATACAGGATTATATCCTTTACCAAAAATATCCATCATCTATGTCTTCCAATAAAGGCTTAAGACGCAATCTGCGAGTTCAGGCCTCGAGATATAAAATTTGTAAGGGTAAAATGCATCACCATTCTCATAATGGTTAAGTTGTTTTGGACCTTGACCGAAGAATTCAACTTCTTCAAATGGTTCACAGTGGATGTGATACTATTGTGTCAGCAATATCTCTTGCTGCCCATTTTGGCATCACCAAGACTTACAGCAAATTGGCTGATAGGTAAAATATATAAAAATTATAATATTATATGATCAATAATATATTTTTAAATATAATACACAATAATAAATTGTTTCACCATTTTTATAATAGTGAAACAATTTTAGATTGTAACAGAAGAGTTTAACTTCTTTAAGAAGTTATAGTGGAGTGGATGTGATACTAATGAGGCAAAATCTTTAGCTGATTATTTTGGTATCACCAAGACTCACAGCAACTTGACTAGTAGGTAAAATATTTCTGCATAATAAATCTATTTATTATATCGTGTATTATATTTTTAGCTTCTGGTGGCCAAATATGAAATTGGATGTGGTTAATTTTGTAAAATGTTGTGATATTTGCCAGCGTAGCAACACAAGATTTGACAAAACTAACAATGAGTTGCATTCAATTCCTATTCCAACAAAGGTATTAAAGTTGATTACATAACAAATTTTTAATTTGAAAATTTTTATAATTTGGTCATTATAATTGTTTCTAATTTTTGTTTATGTATTTTATATTTTTCATTGTAGCCTTATTAATGGTCTGTCTATTATAGCTTATATGTATGTGGCACTTGTTTTTATTAGTTATGTTGGTTTCATATATTGAACCATTTAAATTTTATTGAATTTTTTTACAAGAAATATATCATATATTCATTTTTAGTTTCTTTAAGGTTAATATAACATTCCAAAATAAAAATATAATTTGCATATAATCTACTAATTAAAACTTATAATCTGAAAATATAATAAATAAAATTAATATAGTCCCCTTCAATCTCAGGTAAAAATTGATATATATATCATAATTGTTTTCATTTTCCGATCAAGAAAAGATATCCAAAAAATGATAATGGTGTAATGGGAGATAATTTTTCTACCGAGCGGATTATTGGTGATGGAAATTGTCTCTTCAGGTATACATATTTAAAATAAATTATTGTTAATCATTATTGTAGATGTATAAACAAAGAAGTTTGTGATGACGAATGCCACTACGATTTTCTGAGACAGCAATGCATTCTCTTTATGAGAAGCAAGGATATTGTTGAGCAGATGGAGGGGTTTTTGGGAGAACCTGTTGACAAATATTTGGAGAGAACACGCATGGCTCAAAATGCAACTTATGGAACAGAGGTGGAGATAGTTGCATTGGCAACTATGCTTCAAACAAATATAATTATCCATACCATTTATAAATGGGCATATTACACACCAATTAAAAAATTAAGTTACATTAAAAAATTTAATTTGAATATATATTTAAGAAATTATCGCGAACATTTTGACCTCATAATAAATTTTAATTAATCTTTATAACGCATGTCTTATTTACATCGCACATCTTTATAACGCATGTCTTATTTATATCGCATATCTTATTTATACCGTATATCTTATTTATATCCCATATCTTTATATCGCATATCTTCATAACGCATGTCTTATTTACACCGCACATCTTTATAACGCATGTCTTATTTATATTGTATGTCTTATTTATATCGCATGTCTTGTTTATATCGTACGTCTTGTTTATATTGCATATCTTTATAACACATGTCTTATTTATATTGCATTTTATATACACGTCATTCATAAATGTCTGTATTAATAAAAATATTATATTTAATCTTTACATATGAGTCATAAATGTCAGTATTATTAAAAATATTATATTTAATCTTTACACGTCAGTCATAAATGTCAATATCACTAAAATATTATATTTGATCTTTACACGTCAATCATAAATGTCAGTATCACTAAAAATATTATATTTAATATATGCGCGTCAGTCATAAATGTCAATATCACTAAAAATAATAATATTAAATCTTAACATGTCAATCATAAATGTCAATATCACTAAATTGGAATTTATTTAAAACGGAATTTATTTAGAACGTTGCACCGGGATTATTGATAGTGATAAATTGTAAAGTGGGTTATAATGGCGTTTAAAAGTGATTAAAAAGGTGTTACGTACTGTTGCATCATTTGGTATTAATTTTATAATTATATTATTATTTAAGGTTGCAAATAGTTAAAATATTTTTAGTTAATTATTAATTTTTTGGTAAGCGGAAAATATCCTCGGAAAAAATTTTCTATAGAAAATTATTCCCCCGGAAATAAATTCCCCATTTTAAATGTATCCCCGGAGAAAAATTCCCCGAATAATTTTTATTTTATTTATCAAAAGTAACCACGCCGCGAAAATAAAAATATTTCTAAAAAAGTATTTTCTGAACGTTGAGCATTTATTCTCGACTATTGAAGATTTTTTTGAGCATTATTTCTTTTTTAATTAAGCGATAGAGTAATCTTAAAATATGAAAATTGATTGGTAGCTTTGATTCTTTATATGAATAGATAGTATAGATTTGTGACATCTTGGAGAGAAAACATGATAGATTTTTATAGAAATAGTAAAAATTATGGAAAAATTGAAAAAACAGTGGAAACAAATTTTCCTAGAAAGAGAGAAGTTATTTCAATAATCTATTCATCTAGATTTCAATAGATATTATGAAACCAGATCATTTAACCACATTATATTTACCATGAAGATGGGGGGAGGGGGTATTTCCAACCCACTCACCACTAAGGTTAAAAAGATATAAAAATAACAAAAATGGAATTTTTTTTATGTAAATACTATTTATTTTAAAAATTTAATCTGATTATAAATTTGTAAAAAAGTAATGATTTAAAACCACTGATTACAAGGGCTTATTTTAAAAATGGCTGTTTCTTTCTGTAAATTTTTTTAAAAAATTCATAAGCAAAATAATCATTAAAAGATTTGAAACATATCACACTCAGTGTTGACAATCACCTCTGAAATAGATGCTTTCTGATTAGAATGGTCAGCATTTTTCATTACTTTTGGCAATATTTAATTTAAATTGGCAGTAAAAAATATAATATAGAAAGTTCTATATTGATTTTGTATTCAGTTAAATTTTTATAGTAGGCATTAAATACTTCTAGAATAATTTCTATCACATAGAGGAAACCAGATAGAATAGCAAATTTCCTATTTCACCACAGAATTTATATATTTATATCATTTAACAGCCCATCATTAGCAATAAAAACAAGGGCAAGGGCGCTATTTAAGAGTTAGTAAAAGTCACACTGTTATTTTTACCACAAAAAGGTGAATTTAATTGTTTTAATATTTTAAACCTCAAATCTTCGAGGGAATTTGAATTTAAAAAACACAGTGAAAAATAAATTACATCTTTTCTTAATAAATTTTTAAAAATGCTCATCTTTCACACTAAAATCAACAGCTAGACTATATAAAAATATCTTATTTAATTTTTTTATTAAGTAGGGGAGGTAAGAAAGTAAGGATGCTATTTAAAATTGGTAGATTTATGATTTATATTAAAATAGGGTGTAGCAAAGTTACTTTCAAATAACTATAGCAACATTGATTCAACCTGGCATAATTCAGTATAACAAAATGGTGATTTTTTTATTAATTATAAACTTAGATAATCCATCATAACTTATTTTAAATATTATATAAAGGGCATAAGATTCATGTATAAAATTAAAAATTTTTTATTTTTCATAATAGATTATTATATATATTTATATTTTATTAAAAGCAGCTATATCAACTGATTGCACTAAGTCTTCAAATTCTGTTATTTTTTCTTCAAGGTAATCAGTTCCAACCTATTTAATTGTAGCAAATAAGATATGTCAATATGAGGATAAATGTTCAAAAATTCAGATTTATATATTATAATCAAATAATATTTCATAACCCAGTGCGTATCATCATGTTTTTAAATGAATTAAAATTAGATGTATACTTTATCATCTTCAACAACACATGTAATCTGTAATTTTTTAATTCCATATGCCAAAGGAACCAATTGTGCTATTAAGGAGTTAAAATATTTTAATAAACATTCTTACATTTTCCCCAAACTAGGCCTTCAGTTTTAATAGAACGTACTTTATCATCAATTTTATTCATATCAGTATCTGTATCCCAAGGTTTTACATCTAATACTATACTAGATTTGGCTATAATTTGAGTTTCTAATAATATAATTAGCATTAAAAAAGAGTCAGAAATATAAAACTTTGGGATTTCCTTTGAGCATACATTGCCAATCTTTGTTCTTTAAGTTTTAATGTTTCCTCGTCTTCCTCCTAAAAAAGATTTTGCATTCAAACAAAATTTGAAAATTTTTTTTCAATAAGGACAAAAAACTGGCTTCTTGGAACATATTATTTAAATATAAGAATAGACTAAGCATATAGGGTAGGAAACAATAGGCAGAAATAAATGTTAACTTTATAAGGAGAATATAAATAGAAAAAAAGCTACTTTAGTTCCTTAATTTATATATTTATTAACTAATTAGTTTCATACTTCATCACTACCAAATAAATCAATTTCTTCTTCAACTTTACCATTATTTTCAGCAGAATTTAATTGAAATATTTCTTTATATTTTTCAAGTGCAACATGATTTGAAGGGTGTCTAAATACACAATATATACGATGTATGTTTTGTAGGTTACTTCGAAAACTCGTCTTGATAAGATTTAATATGTTTATACCATCTATATAAATTAGGTAATGTAGTTAAAGGTTCTGATTTGATTTCTTGAAATATCTTAATATCTACAGGAGATAGGCGAAATCTTTATAAAAACGTAAAATATCTTCATTTATTAATTTACCCTTCAATATAAGATTTATCTTCTAAATAACTATCTAAATTTGATAAGACATGATTATTATTAAAATCTATGTTGGACATCTTACAAAACGTTAAGGAAAGGATTTTATAAATATTTAGAAAAAAAAATAAAATATTTTATTTTAAATTGAATATTATTTAAAAATTTACACTATCACACAAAACATTTTGTAAGCTATCTAAGATATTATATTATAACATAAAATATTTATTTATTATTAGGCAACAACTTTATAAATCCTACCTTAAATTAATTATAACATCAGTATTGAATATTTGCGATTGCAGATTAAAAATATATTTTGAGAAAATTATTATAAAAGTAGTAAAAAGTAATGATTTTATAATAGAAAAATGTACAAAATGTTATAAAATATTATTTATGGCACATTGCCTATTCACTGTCGTATTTCTGATATTATTGATAAATCAAGTTACAAAGGTAGTAAAATGTTTCAATTTTATAATTAAAAAAATTTAATGGTTTAAATATATTTGGCATAAAAGCGCCTACTCACTGTCGTATATTATATTATTATTAACTTATAAGATTAATTAAGAGAAACTTTTATCACGAAACACTTTTTAGTGAGACTTTGATCGTAAATGTGGTTTATTGCGAAGGTAGTATGCCATAAATTTACAATTTTTACGTGAAATATTTACAGCAAAGATAATATGATGAATACATTTGTCGAAACCTAAACCGCGAACACTTTTGAGAATACATATTAGTGAAACTTTTATATCGATACTCTACGCGCCTTTGTAGCAATTCTTTTAGCACAAAGTCATCGGATCAAAAATTTTAGAAAAATCATAAAAGGTCTTGTGAAATGCAAAGATTTTATTTCAAATTAGGTATATTCTACTTTTAATATAAGCAAAAAGTTGAATTAATTTTTATAATTCTTCTATGAGTATTAATATTTTTTCTCCTTACATTTATCTAAACTTACAACTGATGGATATAAAAAAAAATTATCAACCAATTACCTAAAATTAATATAATTTAATATAATATATATAAGTAGCGTTACTGGAGGAGGAGGGGGGGGGGAGCGAAAAATTTGAATCCTGAAGCGAAAAAATTTTTTCTTAATGGCTCCCTAATATTTCCCTAAACTAAATAAATTTTTTGTTAGTCCCCTGAACAATTTCTTTTATAATTCTATTATAATGTATCGATTAGATTTTATTATTTAAAAATTAATTAGACTTTTTAAATTTTTATTAAAGTGCTATTTTAATTATTAGATTAGATTAATACATTAAAAATATAATTTATTATTTAAAAATTAATAAGACTATATGAATTTTTATTAAATGAGTGCAATTTTATTTATTAGTTAATACATAACATATAAATTATATTTACTATGTCAGCTGGCAACCAAATTCTTTGTTAAATGGAATATCAATATCACACATAATGTATAAATATTAATTTAGCATTAACAGTTGAAGCCTGATTGATTATTATTTAAATATATTTATAACCCTAATTAAATATATTTAATCATTTATTAAAAATTAACAAATTTAATATTGTAACTACCCGAGTTTAGTTTATAATCCTCGATTATATATAATTGATTATAAAATATTAAGTCTACTTTTATAGATGTATTTGACAGTTATAAAATATATTACAGTTTATATTTAATAAGTTTTGCTAATAAATGCTTCTGATAATAAATATAAGACAATTTGCATTCAATTCTTTAGCGCCATCTATTTATTTATAATATTATTAAAAATTAAACATCTTATTATTCATCCCACTATTGATGTAATAAATTAGATATATTTTTTTAACTTTTTTATGTTTTTTTAGGAAAGCTATTTTTTTTATTATTACAAACTACTATTATTTTAAGATATAATATACCTACTAGAGGTTGGACAATAATATATTAAATCTTAATCGCTTTCATAATTTCACTTTGGTTCTTATTTTATAGTTACAAAATGTTTCGTTTCTAAGGCACCCTTGCTGTGTAAATAACTCAAGGTTTCTATATATTTACATGATTTCTTCTAAAGATTTTAGTGTTTTTGTTTTATCAATTTATTTAACAAAATAAATTCTGATAGGAGTTAACATTGTGAGTATCATGGCTATGACTGCAAATTGACCAGCGTCTATTATTGGTGTGGCTATATATTTTAAAATTATTACTACAGCTGGTAAGAGCATATGCATATTTCAGATAAGCTATCATTAAAAATGGAAGATAATAGAAATTTAATATCTCACAATATTTTCTCGATTATTTATCTAATCATCATTTCCCTAAGAGGAAGCTGTAACCACCATTATTTTTATTTGGACTGGTCGTTTATATTCTCTTCTTCAAGAATTGTTGATTTGGTTAGCCTATAAATTTTTCCTTATTAGTCCATTCTATAAATCATTGTCTAAAATAGGAGTTATATTTTTCTTAACCTTTTGTCAATGTAATTTGCTAAGAATTATATTGCATTATGTGGTTTTTAAAAACCATTATCAATAGAGGCATATGTATGAATTAATTAACCTTTTTTATCACTTGTAATCCTTTAGACGCAAATTTTTTTATATCAGCAATCAAAAATAATTTATACTGTAATAATTAATTTTGTATTAAAAAATATTATTTTTAGATATATCCTGTATTATTTTAATTATTTATATGCTAGTTTTATTTTAAATCAAATTAGAAGGTATGGGGGACGAAGCCCCCATAAAAAATTTTTTAGTTGAGTCCACTGAGATTGTAAAGGCTAGCGACACCCCTGAAAATATTATATATAATATTTTAATAAATCTTACTAATCAATGATTAATATAAGTAACAATTTGCAATCAATTCTTTAACGCCATCTATTTTTATAAATATTATTAAAATTAAACATTTTATTATTCATCTCACAATCAATGTTATTTATATATATCATTGCCCATAATGGATGTAATAAATTAGATATCTTTTTTTCTCTTTTTTACAAGTTTTTAGGAAGGCTATTTTTTTCTTCTTCGAAAAACCGTTTTATAAATTTTTAATACTAGTATATTTTTGATATTACAAATTATTAATATTTTAAGATATAATATACCAACTAGAGGTGGTGCCACAATAATATATAAAATTTTAATTGCTTTCATCATATCACTCTGGTTCTTATTTTATCTTTACAAAATATTTAATTTCTAATATGGCATCCTTGCCGTGTAAATATCTATCATTGATCTCTACGCTTCAATATATTTGTAATTATTTCTTCTAGGATTTTTAGTGTTTTGATTTATCAATTTATATAACATAAGAGTTTACATAGTGAGTGTCATGGCTATAACTGAAAATTAACCAGCATATGTTATTTGTGAAGTTATTACCTCCTGCTGCTGAGATTATTTGATTGCATAATTTAGATGAGCAATAATGGTCAACTGTTTAGTCATTTATATATCATTAAGAAGATAATCATTTAGAAATTTAATATCTCACAATAATTTTTTCGATTACTTGTCTATCATTAAGTCATCTAGGTCTAACCACCAGATAGTTGATTAATGATAGATAACTACCTCAAGGTAGTACCTATCAAATTTATATTTTGTTTACTTTTCATTTGGATAGGTACTTCCAAATTTTTTTTTAATATATCAATGGCATATATAATACCTAGACTGACGATTCATTTATTAAAATGCATTTTTAAGCGTCATTAAAAGCAAATCAGCTGGACTCGCCATTTTGGTAACACATATAGTAATTATTCTCATGTTAAAAACTACTTAAATTAATAACTTGCTTCCTTATTATCTCGATGATCCGATAATTCTTAGATAAAGTTTGCATCAGATATAGGAATAAATTAGGCTCTCGTTTAAAATTTTAATAATGATTAGTGTAACCAAGATGACGTCTCCAGCTGATTTGCATTGATGTACACCTTTAACGAATGAATCGTCTGTCTAATATTATGATTTTTGTAAAGAATCTGAAGCCTAGTAAGCAAGAGAGTCGTTTACCAATCCTATTATCGCCCTTACGAGGATGATATATAGGAGGCCGGACTCGGCCACTCGGCCACGTGATTCTGTTATAATATATGTTAGGTAATAAAGGTCTTATTAAATTTTAATAAATTTTAGTCGGTATTTAGCAAATTAGATTGGTATTTATAAAATTGTTATACGTTGACTAGGCAGTATCTTCTATAAAACATTGTCTAAAATGGTAACACAACGTTATATTTGTATAATGACCGTTTGTCAATGTAGATTGCTAAGAATTATATCTAACTGTTTAGTTTTTAAAAATCATTATCAATTGAGGTTAACCAATTTTATCACTTATAATTCTTTAGAAATTTTTTTTTTTAATATTCGTAATAGAAAATATTTAATATTGTAATAAATGGATAAATATTTTATATTAAAAAATAATATATTCTGAAATCTTGTTTTGTTTTACTTTTATTATTTGTATGCATAATAAATGACAAAATATGAAATTCAGAATAATTATTCAGAGTTTGCAAATCTCAATTAAAAAAATATAATATATTAATATAAAACCCGGTCGAAGGCCGGGCAAAAACTTGTCGAAGGCCCTGAAAATATGGGGTAAGGGGGGCGAAGTCCCCATAAAAAATTTTTAGTCGAGCCCCCTGAGATTGTAAAAGCTAGTGAAACCCCTGATATATATAACCCAAATCCAATAATAGTGCCATAAATTATAATAACTGAATTCACAATGATTGCAGATAAAACTATTGAACAAAATTATGAATCTAAAAAGATAGATAATGTTGAAATAGAGTCTTTAGAAGGTTAGTTATTATTAGATATTTGCTGAAAAGAATTATTTTTAAAACATTGTGTGCTACAAGAAGAAAGAAACTCTAAAGCATGCCGACACAATGGAATCTAGGAAAATAATTCCTAGGAAAATAAAACCCTGGAAAAAATGAAGATTACTGGTCGGGAAAAAAATCACCAGGAAAAAAATTCCCAGATAAAATAATTAAAATTTTTGAGAAGTATGATTATGTATGTTAGATGAGATTACATTTTTGTAATTAAAGTTAATCTACAAACTATTCATAAAGTCATTTTAT